TCTGAGACCCACTGCTGAGGGCGGGGCGGGCGACGCGCGCTGATGACGCAGGCCCGGCGGACCGGCCAGTCGGAGGACTCCGTTCGCGCATGCTCCAGCGTGATCAGTAAAGGGTGGAAGCTGCGCGGTGTGAACCGAGCTGTGTGTGAGGTCTGGGGACCAAGGGCGAGGGGGGTGCAGGCACCCCGAGCGCCGTAGCTTTGCAGACACAAGTCCTGGGGTGCAAACGTTGGCTGGCCAGGGAGGCTCTTAACACCCCCGTTGAGGTTCTCCTCTTGTGCTGGGAATGCCCAGGGGAGGGAGAGCAGCCTGGAAGACAGTTGTTACCGGGGCCATACTGGGTGTGGCAGCAGAGCCAGGGACAACTCGCTGACCAATGAGGACAGAAAAAACAGCCACAAATTTAAGTTCCAAACACACTGCACATTTGTACCGTAATAACATGGTCTGGCCCCAAAGCCCAGCCGGCAGACTCCTGAGTGCCAGGGCAGGGAAGAGCATGACAGGCCCCAGTGCATGGGGCCAACCTCCTTGAAGCAGGCCAGTCCCAACTTCAACACAGGGCAGTCTGCTCTGGAAAAGGGCCCAGAGGGAACACCCTCTCTCAGCTCAGAGACGGGACCCAAGGAGCATTCTGAAGAGGACGAGGACACCAGAGGGTAGCCAAGTGCAGACTAAGCAAGCAGGGCTGGGCAGGGCTGGAATTCAGGCCTCAGGCCCACAGATAGGTAAACAGTCAGGGGAGCAAGTGCAGGACAAAACTGCACAGGGTACTACAGAATGCGCAGGGAGGTTCCAGGTGCACCCAAGGGGCACAAAAACCAGACACCAGTGCCTGTGCGTCAGCCTCTAACAGGGTCCCGGCCAAGGCCGGGCCTACCCAGGAGGGGGAGGGCCTCCAGCAGCCCTGGACTCTGGGACAGTCTGTTTCGCACCCAGAAGCCCAGAGATCACAAACTGAAGTAGTCTGCAGCCAGGCGACCATAGATGTCCGTGGTCCAGACCACATGGGCACGGCCCGAGGCGAGCAGCAGCTGGTGCAACTCAGCCTCCACACGGGCAAATTTCTCCTCATTGATGGAGGCCTCCAGCAGAACAGAGGCAGGTGGCGGCCAGGGCAGGCCCTCATAGCAGTCCACAGGGAAGGGGTGCACCACTGTGCGCAGCTCGGCCTGTGCCACCGAGTCCCGCAGGAGCTCCTTCAGACCTGCCATGGAGAGCGGGTTGCCGTAGAGGCCGAGGTAGCGGAGGCTGGCGCAGCGGGTCAGCACGGGGAGCACGGCCAGCAGCTGGGCATCAGCAAGCTGGCACTCGGTCAGCTCGAGGTGCAGCAGTGTGGCCGCCGCCGCCTGCAGCAGGCCCTGGAAAGGCTCCAGCTGGCTGCCCGACAGGTCGTTGCCACTCAGGTCCAACTTCTTGAGGTGGACGGCATGGGGGCTGCGTGCCAGGAAGCGCAGGTCCTCCGGCAGCAGAGCACAGAAGGCCAGCTCCAGGCTCTCCAGGGGGCTCTGCAGAGTGCTGCAGGTAAAGCCAGGGGTCATGAACAGGCAGGCAGGGGACCGTCTTGGGGAGGGGAGAGGCAGAACAGTAGTAGGGCCCACTCACCTGAGCAGCTGGTCCAGCCGCCCTGAGAGGAGAGAGGAGCCCATGCTGAGCTCCCGCAGACAGGTGAAGCGGCCCATCTGGGCCAGGAAGTATCGGAAGTTGTCCTCACCGTCCACGGAGGGCTGCCGTGAGTCCCCGTGGACATAGTGCAGCCGCAGGCTGGCCAAGTGCTGGAAGCGGGCCACGTGTGGGATGATGACGGACAGGCCGCGCAGCCCCAAGTTGTTGAAGCGCAGGTCCACGCGGCGCAGGCAGCCCGCGTCCAGCAGCTGCAGCAGGGCCACGGTGTTCCGCATGGGCAGGTCCTCAGCCCGCAGGTCGCGGCAGCAGAGCCGCAGCGGGCTGCCTGCGCCGCTACGGAGAGCCTCCCGCAGGAACGCATACGAGGCCCGGTTCACCCGAAGGTCCACACGCACCTCCACGGGAGCGGGGCTCGGCCCAGGCTCCGCAGTCCCGCCTTGCTGCTGTGCGATGCACGTGCGGGCCACAGCTGCTGTGCAGTCCCACATGCTCATGGTGCCGGGGTCCTGCTCCACGCCATCGTCCAGGAGGCCCGTCATGTCCAGCACCCGCAGGGCGTGCTTCCTGGGAGCACAAGTGGGCTGAGGAAGGTGGTAAGAGGGAGAGCCCACACCCAACCCCAACCACCTTGCGACAGAAGCAACATGCCTGTTCCTGCACTGAGCTCTTAACACCGGCCTGAAGTCTCTCTGGGGACCCTTTCTGCACATCCCAAGCCTGAGGGCCCCTCAGGCGAGCCCATACCTGCAAAAAGACCGTGTGCCAGCCTCAGCCTCTGGGGTGTGGAGCCGGGCTGTGAGCCCCAGGATCACAGCCTGCATGCTCTCTGTGCTGGGCCGCTCCTGCAGCAGGGCCCGGCTGCAATGGGCACACTCCTGCAGCAGCTGCTGGAAGCTGAGCAGGGGGAAGGGCCACGTGTGCACCAGTTCGCGGAGCACAACAGTCTTCTTGTCCATAAAGGCCACCTTGAACAGCAGGGGGAAGAGCTCGCGTGGGAGCAGGGGCAGAGCCTGGCAGGCGGCGGGCTGGCACTGGAGCACCTGCCGCGTGCTCAAGAACACAAGCGTGTGCATGGCGCCAGGCAGGGCAGGAGGCCACCTGCAGGGAAGAGACCTTCAGTGGGGAGGACAGACCCCAGGCTACCATCTGCCACAGGCTCCTCCACACAACAGTAGCAGGAAAGCCCAGCCCGGTGCCTGCCAGTCAGTGGTCAGTGGGACCACAGCTCTGAAGAGTAAGTGCTAGGTGCCTAGCAATGGGCTAGGCAGAGTGCAAATGGGGACAAGGCCACCCCCTCGTTCCCACATGGGGGCCTGTTTAGGAAAACAAAGCCATCAAGCAGCACGGAATAGCGTGGCCCCAGAGAGGACCCGCCCACCTGGTGTGCTTTTGACAGCTGTTGGCTGCAGGGCCTCCCCCACCCTTACTTCAGGCCTCTCAAATTACAAAGTGGCTTAAGAGAGATCCTCTCTCAAAAGTAAAATACGGTTCTGGCCCCTCCCCCTCCACAAGCACTAGAAGGGTGGGATCCTGGGGAGAGGGGCTGGAAGCTGCATCCCGGTTCACTCCCATTCCCTTCTCAAAAGCTACTGCAGGCTGTCCCAGGACCCTGCGCAGCAGCAGAGAGGAGCCGGACGCACAGATGTTCCTCAATGAACACCAGGGCAAGTGTAAAGGACCGGGACCCAGGAGACAGAGTCCAGATGGCCTGAGTAACCCAAGCCCTCAACATGACCCTTCTCCTAACTTCTATATCCAGACGTGTTGCTAGGCATGGAAACCCCTGGAAAGCAACCCTCACCGACTGAGGGCCTTAGCAGCTGTCTAAACATCTCCCTCCGACCTGAAGAACCAAGTCAAGAAACCAAGTTTCAAACCCATAGATGCAGGAGGCCCCAGGCCAGAAAACTGCTCAAATAGTTAGAGGCCACTGCCAAAGGGGCATCCAAGCTAACGGGCGGCACAAGACGATGCCTCCGGCCGCAGGAACCTGTGTCAGCTCTGCTGCTGAATCGGAGCATCTCATCCCCCAAACCGCCTCCCGGTCACAGGAAGCAGAAGAGATGAGGACGAGGGACGAGGCCTCCCCGGCCAGGGCCGCAGCCTGGGTGATGGACGCCTGGGCGGGGAAGGGCGTCTGGCCCCAGACCTCACACAGAACCTGAGCCCTGAGCACAGCGGCTCCCGAGAAGCCCTGACGCCAGCCTCGCCCGCGCTCTGCCCGTGGACAAATCTCGCGAGGACGATGCATCCCTCGCCGAGAAAGGACAGACCCACCGAGCACCTGTCACGAGAGGAAACGCAAGCAGCCCGTGTGGTCACCGGGGGAGGAGCCCCTACGCCGGCCCGTCGTGCCCGGCGTTTCCCGAAGGCGCCCCGCAA